AATTTCTTACTATTTCTGGTCAGATTTTTATCTGGCTAGAAATTTTATATTCCACTATTTTATAAAGGAGAGTTTTGAACACTTATCTCTTATCTTCGAATACTTCTGAAACATTCTCTTAAATAATAGCATATATTTAAGAAGGAGTGAGCAATGGGCACAGAGAATGAAATGGAAGGTGGGTAGAGAATAGATGGCTATTTCTAAGAGATAACAAATTTGATATATTTTAAACTCATAATTACTTTATTTACCCCATCTTTGCTGAGATTTTATTGGACAATTACAATCTTACTGGTTTTGAATTAAATAAATATATTAGGGTTCTAAGAATGAAAGCATAGCACAAAGTAAGTGCTAGACAATTCAATTTTGAATGAATGAATGAATTAATCAGTGAGTGAATGACAAGGACTGCAATTCATTTTCATTAAACAAAATCATAGCTTATTACTAGGAGTAATGCTACTTTACTTCAATACAAGCACAACCCGTTTATTGCGTTTCACTTTATCAAGCTTTGCAGATACTGCAGTTTTATACTTTGAAGGTGTGTGCAGAAGCAAGTCTATTAGCATTTTCCAGCAGCACATGCTCACTTAGTTTCACTCACTTAGTTTCACTGTATCACAGTTTGGTAATTCTCAAAATATTTCAAGGTTTTCCATTATTATTGTATCTGCAATAGTGACCTGCAGTGAGTGATTTTGATGTTGCTATTGCAAATGTTGAGAGGTGCCACAAACTGTACCAATATCAGATGGCAAACTTAATCTGTAAGCGTTGAACATGTTCTGATTGCTCTGTCAACCGGCCATTTCCCTACCTCTTTTCCTCTCCTCTGGCCTCCCTATTTTCTGAGGGAGACATAACAAGTAATAGGTCATTTAATAACACTGTAATACCTCTTAATGTTTTAATAAAAGGAAGATTTGAAAGTCCTTCACTTTAATAAAAAACCAAGTTAGATGAAAAAGGGATGCTGGGAACCAGCAGTTAGCGTAATGGCTATGTTGCTGGACTCCCACGTAGTTGACCGCGGTTTGTGTCCCGGACCCGGTGGCTTAAAACTCACGCCGGGCGCGTGTGCGTGCGTGCCCAAGATCCCGAGAGGAGAGTGGAGGAGAAGGGATTGCAGCGTGACCATCCCCCCTGGGGGGTGATTTCTCGCTTTCTGTCTCTATGTCTCTCTCTGTCTGTCTGGCGAGCGCACGCACCCTACAGTGAAAATCTCTCCAAAAAAAAAAGGGATATTGAAAACTAGGCTTCAGAGAGAGACATTGTATATCTCCACTTAACATATACCAACTACCTCTGCTCTATGGTAGACATTGAAAGATTGGAGGGCATAAAAACATTGAAAATAGTCATAGACACTGAAGATAGTGTGGAAGGAGGGTGGGAGAGAGAAAGTATATAGGGAAGGAGATTAGGGAGAAAAATAGAGAAGTAAGACATTTGTGGGACACAGAAATGGTTTATTATCTATTGATAATAGCATGTATAGTATTCTCAACTCGACTGTTCTGAGGTATATTTCATATTGGGTAAATTCTCTCTACAACTAAATGCTGTATAGCAATTAAGTGTATAAAATAACAACAATAAAAATAAAATTGACTAGTTAATTAAAAAAAAAAAAAACCTAGACTTCAGATAGACTTAAAGTTAGGCTTCCAGACAAGTTGTGACTTCAAAGGAAAAGTTTTTTTTTTTTTTTCTGGAGAGATTTTCACTGTAGGGTGCATGCGCTCGCCAGACAGACAGAGAGAGACATAGAGACAGAAAGAGAGAAATCACCCCCCAGGGGGGATGGTCATGCCGCAATCCCTTCTCCTCCATTCCAAAGGAAAAGTTTTTGAAGTAAATTAAAAATTCTACTCGAGGGAGCACACTGGACAAGAAAGCAAAAAATTCTGACTGATATGGAGGAAGTTTTAGTGGAGTAGATAGAAGACCAAACAACATTCCTCTTTTTTTTTTTTTTTTTTTTGAGAGATGTTTTTGCTGTACATAGCATTTGCTCACCAGAGAGACAGAGAGAAAGAAAGTGAGAAATAATCCACAGGGGGGATGGTCACACCACAATCCCTTCTCCATTCTCCTCTCAGGATTGTGGGCATGCACACCCATGTGTCCAGCATGAATTTTAAAATACCAATTCCAGGACTTGAACCACAGTCAACCACATGGGAGTCCAGTGACGTGACCATTACGCCATCTGTTGGTCCTGCTGCAGAATTCTCTAATATCAAAGCCTAATCCAGAGCACAGTCTTAAGGCATTTCAGTTCCATAAAAGGCTGAGAAAAGCTGGAAAGCTGCTGAAGAAAAGTTTAAAGCACGCAGAGTGAAGGTTTAGGATAGAACCATAACAAAATTGGAAGATAAGGGGCCAGCCAGTGGTGTGGTGACTAAGGGGCTATATTCTCACATGACTGACTACAGTTCAAGTCCTAGACCTATTGACCTAAAAATTACAACAAATGATAGATAGATAGACAGATAGATAGATAGAGATATAGAGATAGATAGATAGATAGATAGATAGATAGATAGATAGATAGATGATAGATAGATAGATAGATAGATAGATAGATAGATGATAGATAGATAGATGATAGATAAGTAGATGATAGATAGATGTTAGATAGATGATTGATAGATAAGTCTTTAAAAAAAGGTGCAAGGTGAACTAGAAAGTGCTGATGTAGAAGCTATAGAAAGTTAACTTGAAGATTTTGCTGATTCTTGATTGAAGGTTGCTACATGAAACTGAAATGTAGATAAAACAAGCTTCTATTGAAGCAGACACCATCTAAGACTTTCAGAGCTAGAGAAGTCAGTGGCTGGCTTCAGAACCTCAATGGACAGGCTGACTTTCTTGTTAGGAGCCAATACGACTGTGACTTTAAGTTGAAGCCAGTACTCATCTATCGTTCCTCACAGCCTCAGGGTTTTATTTATTTATTTATTTTTTTATTTTTTGAGAGATTTTTTGCTATAGGGTGAGTGTGCTCGCCTGAAAGACAGAGAGAGACAGAGAGACAGAAAGCGAAAAATCACCCCCCAGGGAGGATGGCCATGCAGCAATTCCTTCTCCTCCGTTCTCCTCTCGGGATCTTGGGGCACGAACGCACACATGTCCGGCGTGAGTTTAAGCCACCGGGTCTGGGACTTGAACCAAGGTTAACTACATGAGAGTCCAGCAAGATTGCCATTATGCTAACTGCTGGTTGGTCCAACATCCTCAGGTTTTTAACAATTAGCTAAATCTGCTTTGCTTTGCTTTATTGCAGTGGTCTGGAATTAAACCCACAATACCTCTGAGGTACAGGTTTGCCTGTAGTTCTTAGGTCATAGTGTTATAAGAGCCTAAGAATCTATGTCATTCCTTCCTCTAGTAGGAAACAAATTTAAAATGAAATCACAGAGTCTAGCAAAATGATATCCACAGAATATATTTGGAAGAGAGGAAAATAGAAAACAAAGAATGAGAGAAAATGGGTATTATCTTTCTATGGTAAAATTATTATAACAAATTTGTACATAAAAATGTTAAAATGTATTTTGAATTAGTGTCCACATTTAGGGTAAATCACTGTATAAGTCGGGTTCTTCAGAGAAATAGAACCAATAGCATAACAGGGAAGCCTGTGGCCTAGTAGTTGAGGAAGCCAGATCCCACATGGCTGACAGTGATTCCAAACCTGACCTTGATGGCTTGAGAAACCTGCTGGACATGTGTGCATATATGCTCAAAATCCTGACAAAATAGGAAAATAGAGAAGGAATTATAGCATAACCATGCCTGGTTGGGGTCTGCTTTTTCTCTCTCCCTCTCTCTCTCTTTGTGTCTCTCTGTGTCCCTTTCTGGTGAGCACACACACCCTCGGGCAATTAAGGAAATAGAATATACAATATAGAGACATATGGAAGGTTTATTGTGTGAACTGGCTCTCACAATTATGGAGGCAGAGAAGTCTCATTACACGCAAGATGGAGAACCAGGAAAGCTGGTTGTATAATTCAGTCCCAGGCCTGATAGCCAGTGGGAGAACCAGTGCTGTCTCCCTCAGTCTAAGACTGCACCCTCAACCTAAGAAAGACCTGAGAACTCAGGGTCCACTGTAAGTCCCAGAGTTTGAAAACCTGGACAATGGAGCCCTCAGAAGCTTAGAAGAACAGGTGAATGTTCCAGAAACCTTAGGGGAGAGTGAATTCTCATTTCTCCTGTTCTCTTTTTGTAGTATCCAGGTCTCCAAAAGCTTGATGTCAATGACTGCCCACATAACTTCCAAAATTCTGATGCTCATTTATAATTTTCTATTTATTTATCTTGTTTGTGGGATTTTCAGCTCCTAAAGGCAGGGAATCTTTCCACAATAGTAATCTCAGCAGGCATGTACCTGGCATATTACATTTCTAAGAAGTGAAATATAGTTCTCAATATATGGAGCAAATTATTGGCTTGAGTTTTCTAAGTAAGTACTTCAAATCCTCTTTTCATTTCACATGAAGTCTTGTATAGATGATGATAGCAACAGATCACATAATGGTTACATTGCTATACTCCCATGTAGGGGACCATGGTTCGACTCCTGGACCTGGCATTTTGAAACTTACACTGGGTGCATGTACATGCATGCCCAAAATTCCAAGAGGAGAATGGAGGAGAAGGGACTGCAGCTTGGCTATCACACCAGGTGGGTGATTTCTTGCTTTCTGTCTTTCTGTCTTGCTCTCTTTCCAGTGATTGCATGTGCCCTATAGCAAAACTCTCTCTCTCTCCCTCTCTCTCCAAAAAAATAAATAAAATATGAAATGAATAAGAAGTAGAAACAACTAAAGAGATGATCTTTTCATTTTTCCCTTAACCAGAAATGATTATGAAGGCTATGTTTGTCTGTGTTTTCTTGGTATTATACAGCTCATAGTATCAGAATTGTGTGCCATGATATGAAACATGGCATGCATTAATAAACATGTAGAATTATATACCTTTGTTGTTATCCATTCCTCCTACAGCATACAGTGTTCCCACAGTAGATTTTCTGGGTTTAGTTCTTGGACTTTGCATTAAAGTTCTTCTTTCTGGCAATAGATGATACTTCATTGCTTCCAGAATCAGCTTTTGACATTCCAGATCATTCTTAAATAATGCATGATTTTCCAGGTCAGCCAAAATCTGTAAATAATGTGTAATTGCTATTAACAATGCTTTTTAAAAGAATAATATAGTACCAGTTGTTACATTTAGAAGTTTGATGCCTATATTATTATACCTACATTGATAAGAATGAACTACATTGACAAATAAGTGTGATTAAAATGCATGGCTTACAAAAGTAACAGGATGAATATTATTTTTTTACTCACTATTAATTGTCCTTTTACTCCACGGTATAAAGGAAGTGCTCTAGAGAGCAGTTTTTTTTAGTTCATTTTCTATTACAAAAGCTATTTGTAAATAAAAAATAGTTGCCTATGTTGGTTCTAAATATGTCTGGTGAAGGAAATAAAAAAAAAAAACTTTAACAAATTAGGTCATAACAAGCCTATCTTAAGTATTTATATATTTAATTTAAGATGTTTCAAGTAGTTTAAAGCCCTTTAAAATTCAGTAGAATTGGAACCAGCAATTACATAATGGTTACATCGCTGGACTCCCACCTAGTCGATTACAGTTTGAGTCCTGGACCCGATAGCTTAAAACTCATGCTGGATGCATGTATGTGTGTGCCCAAAATTCTAAGAGAAGATTAAGTAATAGATCTTGTTTTATTTTTAGTAAATGCAAAATGTGTTGTATAGATGTAGAAAATTAATGAGTAGTAAATTTAGCACTTATCCACCGACGTTTATTGCACATTAATAAAAACACCTGCAACCATCTCTGTATCCAAATGTTTATTCATGAATAACTTAATATGTGATGCTAGCATGTTTTAAAAGAATTATTTCTAACACTAATTTTAACCTTAATTAAATAAATTTATTTAGCCTCTCTACTAAGCAAATTACTGTTAGATGTACCCTAAATAAATAAAAAAATAAGACATTCATATATAAGATGCAGAAAAGGCAACAGAATAGATCTAGGTCTGAATAATGAGCATAATGTATGATAGTTACCAGAAGCTTTGACATTATATAAGTGAAGATATTGAATATATTTCTGGCTATGTTTCCTTTCTTGTGCATGCATGTGTGTGCATTCCCAAAATTCCGAGGAGAATGGAGGTGAAGGGATTGTGACATAGCCATGGGGGGTGATTTCTAGCTTTCAGTCTCTTTGTCTCTCTCTGTCTCTCTGGTGAGTACACTTACCCTATAAAAAAACTCTACAAGGAAAAAAAAATTAAAAATAAAGTGTTTTTCAAATATATGTAGAGAGATATAATTCAGTTTCTATTCCATTTCTGTCTGAATGCAGAAAAAGTGACAACAATTTACAAAGTAGTGTTTCTATTTTTATGTCTGGTACATGGATAAGAATAAATTATAATAACTAAAAAATAGATAGTAGATAATATTAAATGTAAAAGATATTTTAACCAATAAAAATTTTGTTTCAAATAAAATTGTACATTAGCTCCATTTTTCCGCAAACTTTTTGAAGTACCCTTATGCATATTTAACTAAGCTATGTATTTCCAGTCTTCTTTTTATTCATATATAAACAAATGTTAGCATAGATAAGATGCATAGCAAATAACACTTTCTGCAGGCAATTTTCGTTCCTTTGTTAACAACTCTGCTAGGCAAATAGGCTCTCTACCAATACTGTGATTAGCCTTGTTTTGTGACTAATGACTACCAAATTATAGTGTAACCCTGTAGCCGCAGACTAGAACACATTGTGATGCACATGATAATCTTCTGTGTGATATTTAGAAATTACTATTTTGAAAAATTGGAATAATTTATCTATATATTAATAGAACTTTTAACAATACCTGTGTTAGAGCATTGTAGCTGATAGACATGTCATGAACTCAGGATTCAAATAATTATGTTCTTTGCATTTATGTGTTTGAAAGCATTAGTAATCTTTTATTTAATGCACCCTTCTTAGCGTTAACTCTGGTTAGAAAAACATAGAGAATAAAGTGCATTTGTTAAAAAAATAATTTATTGTAAATGACCACTGCTTTTGTTATTATAATACACATAATTTGATTGCAGATGGTTTGATAAATTGTACCACATGTTTAAAACTGCCACCTGATTAGCAGTGTGAAAATATTGATGAGTGTATTAGTTCTGTGTGCATGCAGAAAGATAGTCATTTTTTTTTTTTTGAGAGATATTTTTCCATAGTGCATGTGTGCTCATTGGAGAGACAGAGAAATGGTGGGAGGGAAAGTGACAAATCACCCCCAAGGAGGGATGGCTATACTACAACATTTTCTCCATTTTCCCCCTCAGGATTCTGGGCATGCATGCACACAGGTGCCTGATGTAATTTTCAGGCTGCCAGGTCCAGGACTCAAACCACGGTTGACCATGTGAAAATCCAGTGCCTTAACCACTATGCCACTTGATAGCCTTGAAAGACAGTCCTTAAACTGAAGTTTTCCAAGAAAATATTTATGGATTTATTGTAAATACTTGGAATAAATTGGTAATTTTGACTCTGAATGTATTCCAAATAATTTTTCAGGGTAGCTTCATAAAAACAGAATGCTTTTACAGCCAGCAGGTGGCATTGTTGTTAAGGCTCTGGACTCCCCCATGACCATGTGGTTTGGGTTCTGGACCTGGTGGCTGGAAACCCACACTGGATTCATGTATAGCTACCCACCTTTTGAAGGTGATTTCTCATTTTCCCTCCCACCATCTCTTTCTAGTGAGTGTACGTGTCCTCTGGCAAAAAAACTTAAAAAAAATAAATAAATGAAGTGATGATGCTTTAAATAAGTGTCTAGATTTTTGCATTGTTTTTCTCAACCTCCTAAAAAGAACATAGAACAAATTTTCATGTCATTGAAAAGAAAAAAAAAACATAAAACTCTTCTCTCAATATATTATCTGTCAAGAAAAATACTCTTTTCTAGAATCCTTGTCACAATTCTCTGCTCTATCTATATAGCATGCATAAATACTGCCTTAACATTAAAAATAACTTTTTGTAATGATATCCTAAGCAAGCAAAATCAAATGCATACATTTACATGTGCTGCATGACCTACTCTTATTACACAAATAACATAGTCCAATTTCATGGTAAGTCAGAAAATATTTACACTGCAAAATTTGCATTATGGCTAGCTTTTTAAAAACATCATCAAGAAACATTATTAAGGAAATACAATATACAGTACCACACTCCTATAATGTTTAGTGATTGGAAATAAGAAAGTCTATAGTTTAAGCTATTTCTCAAGTAGATGTAATGCTGAATTCATGAAAACATAATTTGCAAGGCAATATAACTAACATAATCTATACAAAGGATTGCAGTCTCATCTTCACCTTTCATCTGGTGAGAGTTCCCATTGTAAAATGAAATGCAATATTGAATAGACACTTGAAGATAAATTTGAACTTATTAAAAGACCAAAGAAAATACTAACTCTTCTAACACTATATCCTTGGGCTGTCATGATTCTGAAAACATTCTCACATTCATGACAAAGTGACAAAATTTCATATACTCCATATTATTTCATAATATTTCTAACTTTTGTTTTCCTACTGGGTCTTGTGTTAAAAAAATCAACTCACAGTATTTGAATCTACAAAGCAAAATTGATTTCTATTAGAAATGACAGTCTTTTGGAGACTAAGTGACAGTTTCATACATAGTCTTTCAAGTTTTCTTTTTGACAAAATGAAAACGATGAATGATAAAACATTATTATAGTCCACAAGCTGTACAAAAAATGATTTCTACTTCAATGTCTTATAAATATATCTAATATAAATAAAGTATTTTAGGTATTTATATTGAAAAGTTTCTAAGATATTCCACAGGGAAACTATGATCACACTCAGGGCTACACAAAACCTGCACCTGTTTACTAGTCAGCTTAAGGTGCTGGTGAGAGGAGGAAATGCAATTACACTGACCTCCGGTAGCAATGCAGTAAACAGCAAACTCAGGAGTGGGGCTTCTGACTTAACAAGGGAAAAGCAACCGTCTCATGTCTAAAGAGACTTTCTGTATATTTCCCTCCTTTCTAACTTTGTCTAGGTCTGAAGTCAGAGAGGATTGGCGTTTACGCTAAAAGTTTAGCATTACTAGTTAGTTGGTTCAGTCATGCTTATAGCTCTTCTCAGTGACTTTTTGCATTTCTGTTGTGATGGGAACAACCTGCACTTCCTTAAGAGAAACTAGTTCTCCCATAGTCTGCGGCCTGCAAGAAGCTCATCACCAGTGAGTAGATAGATTTTCATGTGACGTTTAAAGTCCCATTAGCTTCAATTGAAAAGAATTTTGGCAAAGGATAGAATCATTAAATTTTTGAGAGTGAAATATCTCTGTCTATTCTACTAATATAATCGCTATTTTGAACTAATTATTTAATGATGTTATTTATATTTTAAAATAAATACCCAACAGAGCTTTTTGGATTCCCTCCCAGTGTTCTCATTTCAAAAGGAAGATGCAGATTACTGACATGATAAAGGTTACATCAGATACATCTGAGTGACTCCTTCTGAAGTATTTGAGGAAACAAGAAGAAACTATGCTTCAAGTAAAGAGCAGGTTCATTAATTTTATTGAGTATAGAAATAGCTGATTGCTTTAAGATAAAAAAAAAAATACTTGGCTAAGCTGACAGTGTATCAAAGTATAATAACATAACCAAAACAGAAAAGCTCATAAAATTAACCCAAATGATTGTTCTTATTAGTGACAAGTGAAATGGTTTTTGTGCAGCTATAGTTTATAATTACCTTTATGTATTCAATATAGGTTTACTATCTAAGTTTGAAAGTTTAGAATTACTAAACACTAAATAAGGAGACAGAATTTCATGGGCATCACTATAAGGTAAGTTGACTTCACAAGGAATCATAAAAACTAGATATTCAACTGACAATTCAAATTCACATATTTAATTCAGAACTTATTTTTCCCCATTTCCGTTCTTTCTCCTCTACTTAAATTATCTTCTTTTTTTTTACTGGTGATTTGGAATATTTATCTGCACTTATATTTTTCAGTTTCACTGCTTC